GGAACAGACAGCCAAAATAAAGGTGGACAGGGTGAGAGAGCTAGTGTGAGCAAATCCCTAATAAGAGAATGAATGTCTATATTACATGAAGGGAGTTACTGGGGACCCCAGGCTTTGTGTGATGCAATACTTAGGAATTATGGGTGTATAGGGATTTATACCCTGGCTAAGCAAATCTATGGAAGTTGTGCAACGTGTCAAAGGATAAACAAAAAGGTGATTAGAAAACAGGTGATGGGAGGAAGACCTCCCGGACTAAGATCATTTCAAAGCATTTAAGTAGATTTCACAGAAATCCCCAAAGGAGAAAGACTAAAGTATTTACTAGTGATCATAGATCACCTTTCCAGCTGGACGGAAGCCTTTTTGCCTTCCAACAGCCACTGTTGGGAATGTGGCCAAAATAACATTAGAACAGATTGTACCTAGATGTGGCCTGGTGAAAAACATTAATTCAGACAATAGAAGCCACTTTACCTTAAGGGTGTTATGGGGAATTATGGAAGGTTTACAAATTAGATGAAATTAGCACACCCCTTGGCATCCCCCTTCCTCTGGAAAGGTAGAAAGAATGAATTGAACTCTCAAAAAGCATATCACTAAACTAATCTTAGAAACTAAAGTGCCTTGGACCAAATGTCTCCCAATAGCACTACTTATGATTAAGACAGCCCCAGGAAAAGACTTGGGATTGTCCCCCTACAAGTTATTATATGTGCTCCCATATTTGGGCAGAGCTATAGAAACCATCTCCCCACTATAGAAACCAAGGATCAATTCTTAAGCAATTATATACTGGCCATACCCTTCACCCTGTCATGCTGTAGGTTAAAAGGACTTCTGACTCAAACTCTGCCTCTTGAGTTCACAGTTCACCACTTCCAGCCTGGTGACTTTGTGCTGTTTAAGACTTGGAAAGAACACAAGATCCACCTATGCTTGGAAGGTCTCTATTCAAGATGTAGTTTATTATTCAATGCTCTTACCCACTGAAATGGCCACGTGAACAGCTGAACGGGGGTGAGCTCACTATGCTTGAGTCAAGGGACTAGTAAAAGAGACCCTGGAAGGGAAGGAAAAAGGCCAGTGAGAAGTGCATAGGTCATCTGAGGAACCCTTAAAGTTAACTCTGAGAAAAATCTAAAAAGAAAACATGGGCTGTTGGCATTTCTGGAAGTCAGCATGGCTGGGATGGGCTGCTATACAAAGAGCGGAAGGTCAGCCTGGAAACTGCCAGTTGACTCCTCCCTACCCAGTTACCCAGTCTCCCTTGGTGATTAATGTGACCAAGACGGCAGGACTCCAAAGTGTAAGATTTAATGCCAGGTCTTACCTTGTGGGACTTTGGAAAATCCAGTTCAAGCGATTCTCCTGCCTCTGCCTCGCTGGGATTACAGGCATGTGCCACCACACCATTTTGTATTTTTAGGCTGATTTTGTATTTTTAGTAGAGACAAGGTTTCTCCATGTTGGTCAGGCTGGTCTCAAACTCCCGACCTCAGGTGATCCGCCTGCCTCAGCCCCGCAAAGTGCTGGGATTACAGGCATGAGTCACCGCGCCTGGCTCTGTTGACTGTGATAGACATAGTTCATCCAATCCACATTCTTTTTTTTTTTTTGAGACGGAGTTTTGCTCTTGTTACTCAGGCTGGAGTGCAATGGCGCTATCTCGGCTCACCGAAACCTCCGCCTCCTGGGTTCAGGCAATTCTCCTGCCTCAGCCTCCTGAGTAGCTGGGATTACAGGCACGTGCCACCATGCCCAGCTAATGTTTTGTATTTTTAGTAGAGACGGGGTTTCACCATGTTGACCAGGATGGTCTCGATCTGTTGACCTCGTGATCCACCCGCCTCGGCCTCCCAAAGTGCTGGGATTACAGGCATGAGCCACCGCGCCTGGCTCTGTTGACTGTGATAGACATAGTTCATCCAATCCACATTCTTATTGGTAGCCAACCACCAGAAGGTTGCTGACTCAAACCCAGCAGCTGTTTAGTTTTGGGCCTTAAATTCTTGAGGCCCCCACCGGGGCTCCTATTGAATCAACATACATATTGGGATCCACAGAATTTTTTTTGTCAGATCCCTCCGGTTTCGGTGGCCATGTGTATTTTTGGGTATCTTATGGAATGTCAGGGTGGAGGGAATGGCCAATCGGCTAAAGCACAAGTCCTGGTTCAATTGGACGGTAACAGGTAATGGAGGTTCCTTTTCCCACAGTACCACCAGACATTAGCCTGGGGTTTATGGAGAGCTGAGTAATTGCCATTGTCTGACTCACCAGTGACGTTTAGGATGTGGGTACAAGACCAGAGTTCTCCCACGGGCTTATTGAACTCTGCCCCCTGCCTAGAGAGGCAAAAGGAGTGGTACGTATTCCCTATAGCGAACAAGGGGATTGCTCTGGGGACTGACCCCTGCAATGCAGGAAAGAGCAATGAGAGAATCTTAAAAGTCTCATTTCCCCATGCATCCTTGCCCTGGTATAGAGCCAACATGCAATGCATTCCTTCAGGATTAGTACCCCACCCTAGGGAAACGGAACCACCTGTGCCTGAGGTCATCCCGCAGCACATGCACAGCAGTTACTCTTGTTGAGAGCTTGTACCGAAAATTTGACCCGTTCTACCCAGGCATGCACATCCCTGTATGCTGTCTCAATTTCTAAGGTTTGCCTTGAATCCTTTACCTCAATTATTTTTACCCTTTTAGGATCATTTACTTCATGAACTAAAGTGTTTATTAGGGTCTGGGATTGAAGTAGTCCCAGGCAAATGGGAGGTTGAGTTCTTGATTCATTTCAGAACAAATCACCCCAAGGGGGTCTTTTCCTGTGATGTCTGCCCCTTACCCACATACCTGAGATGCTTCTTTTGCTTCTTGCTTTAGAACGGCTGGATTGCCGGTGCTGATGAGTATAGGACCGCATTCTAAATTCTCGCAGGAGCCCTTGGACAGATGTAGTTTATTATTCAAGGGTCTCCAGCTCGAAGTTACCCATCTCAGGTTACCATCCAACCTGAAATCGGGTAGTCCACCATACATCGTCCCAGCTGGGGCAGGGTGATGCCCTATTGTAAGCTATATCTGGTTCAAGGCAAAGATATTTATCCACCTGTGAGAGCTGTCTCTGATTTTCCAGTTTTGTTGTTGTTGTTGTTGTTAGAGACGGGGGTCTCAATATGTTGTCAGGATTGGTTTCAAACTCCTGGGCTCAAGTGATCCTCCTGCCTCGGCCAAATTGCTGGGATTACAGGCATGAGCCACTGTTCCTGGCCTACAATAAAAGCATTTGCCTCATGCCATCGTGAGGATTAAAATAATAATGCACATGTGTGCTTAGCACAGTGCCTGACACAGAGCAGATGCTCAGAAAACAAGGTAAATGACATGCCAGGCAAGGTGTCAGAGCCCTGGCATCGGACGTGCTTGACTCATGGGTTAAGAAGAATTTACTGACAACAGTATAGGTTGGAAAAGGAAAGTTTTATTTTTATTTTTTTATTTTTATTTTTTTGTGAGATGAAGTCTCGTTGTGTAGGCCAGGCTGGAGTGCAGGGGTGTTATCTCGGCTCACTGTAACCTCTGCTTCCTGGATCCCAGTTCAAGCAATTCTCCTGCCTCAGCCTCCCAAGATTACAGGCACATGCCACCATGCCCAGCTAATTTTTTTATTTTTAGTAGAGAAGGGGGTTTCACCACGTCGGCCAGGCTGGTCTTGAACTCCTGACCTTGTGATCTGCCCGCCTTGGCCTCCCAAAATGCTTGGATTACAGGTGTGAGTGACCGCGCCCAGTGAAAAGGAGAGGTTTTTTTTTTTACCCAGGTGTGGGCGGGCTGAGGCCAAAAAAGGGCGTCAATTGGAAAGTTTTATTAGAAAGAAAGAAGGCCGCGCAGAGAGGGGCCTCAGCAAGAGAGCACTGAGCAAGCTGGTGGATTTTCCTTAGGGGCATTTATGGACCTTGAAGCGGGAGACTGAGGGTAATTTGGACCACACTAGCCACATCGGTCATGATAAATGATTACATTCGTAGTGACTCTGGTGCCTTACTGTTAGCAAGTGTTGCAAAATGAGTTTTGGGATGGCATTCCTGCGATGTATAGAAATTCTAGTTGCTTATACATTTTAAGTTGAAAAGAGGCCTAGAACCAGATGCTGACATTAGATACTAGGGAAGTTTAATTACTTTTAAATTCCTCATTTAAGGAGTTTTTGTCTCTAGGGTCCGTTCAATGGTCACCAGGTGATTTTTGCTTTCCTCACGATACAATAAGATGCTGGCCAATTTGACTGGTCACAGGTGATGTATCAAATGTTCTGGGTCTGTTAAGCCTCACAACAGCTCAGGTTTTATCTTAATTGTACAGATAATAATAGCACGTGCTTACTGGGTGCCAGGCATTGTTTTAAGCACTTTGCTAACCGTCTTCACGGCAATCCTGAGAGGTAGGTACTACACATTACAATACCTGCTGTACCGGGGAGGAGACAGAGCATAAGTAAGTTGATCAAGTTCACTTGCCGTAGAGCGATCATAGCTCACTGCCGCTTCCAACTCCTGGGCTCAAGTAATCCTCCCGACCAGTAGAGACAGGGTCTTACTGTGTTGCCCAGGCTGGTCTCAAACCCTTGGGCTCAAGCGAGCCTCCCGCCTTGGCCTCCCAAAGTGCTGGGATTACAGGCGTGAGCTACTGCGCCCAGCCCAGGGTCTACACTCTTAACCGAACTGCCCTTCAACAGCATGTGAGGAACAGAAGAGGATGGAGAGATTTCCACTACCAATTAAGAGCTCCAGGTGTATTTCAAACCCTAGGATCATCACCGTGTCCAGCAGATGGCGCACTGGCGCATAGCAATTGGCCGGACCTGCACACGGAGTCAAAACTACCTTACCCACAATGCTGCGGGGTATCACAGTCCCACCTCCTGGTTAGCTGTCCAAGATACTGCCTGTGCGCGCACCTGGGGGATGGGGGGGGCGGAATGCGTGTACTGAGGCCATTCGAGCCCTCCCTTTATCTGCATAAGACAAGTTAAAAAGTATTTTCTCCTCCTCTCACCCTCCATGTCTTACTAGTTGGCGAGCAGTAGGACTGAAACAAGGCTGCTGTTGGCCTCACCTGCCTGAGCCTAACGTGAGGACCCTTGACCTCTGGCTCAAGATGGTGGCGCCCAGGGCGTCGCTCTTGCTGCTGCCCTGAGGTGAACTAAAGCTGGCAGCCCCGCATCATGTCGAAGGTCAGCCGGGTCAGCCGGGCCACCCGGGCCCTCAGGAAGCCCGAGGTCGGCGGTGTGATCCGGACCATCGTGCGGGCAGGCCAGGCCATGCCCGGGCCTCCACTAGGCCCAGTGTTGGGTCAGGTGCGGCCATGGCGGAACCGGGTGTGGGGGTCGAGGGTGGAAGCTAGTACGTGGATGGAAGGCGCTGGCTCTGGAACCACCCGGGCCTCGGTTCAGAGCTCGGCTCTGCATCTCACACGCTTTATGTCCTTGTGCTGGTTACAAAGTGTCTTTCGCCTGGGCTTCCTCATCCCTTCCTCAATGTGCTGTGATGAGGATAACGTGGGAAGATGCTTATAGATCTTTTGGCGCAGCGCACCAAATGGCAGTTGAATCTGGGTAGAGATGGGAACCGGGAGAAGTGGAGACGAAGGAGGGAACGGATGGCGCCTTCTGGGCGGTGGGAAGCCGTCCCTTCCTCCCAGCACTAACTCCCTGTGCTTCCCTCACAGCGAGGTGTTTCCATCAACCAGTTTTGCAAGGAGTTCAATGAGAGGACAAAGGACATCAAGAAAGGCATTCCTCTGCCTACCAAGATTTTTGTGAAGGTGAAGTCTGGACTCTGATCCCTGGTTTCCTTCTCCCCTTGTTCTTCCTCGGCCCTGGGGCTGGTCACCTGGGGTTGCTTCTCCGCTCCTGACTTGACTTCCTATTACTAGGTTCCACTTTCCCCATTTAGGACTAGACCATATTTTTTCTGAGCCCGCCCCATCTTGACGTATTGCAATTCCTCCCTTTGCGCCTTCATCTCAGAGCAGAGTTAGGGCAGGAATAGAGGGGACAGGAATGTTTGCCGTAGATTTATTTCTTCTTGGGATTCTGGGGTCTTTTCGAGGCATGCCATAGGAAAATGAGATGAAGGAAGCAGAGGCAGGACATTAGAAGTTCCCTGGGATGGGGCAGCAGGAAGAGAGAATCCCATATTTCTTTTCTCTGCTTAAGCCTGACAGAACATTTGACATCAAGATTGGACAGCCCACTATTTCCTACTTCCTGAAGGCAGCAGCTGGGATTGAGAAGGGGGCCCGGCAGACAGGTGAGGGCCAGGATGGGCGTCGGAGATTCTGGGGGCACCAGAAGGAAGCAGTAACACCTGAAGAGCCATTTGTTCCTTCCTTCCAGGGAAAGAGGTGGCAGGCCTAGTGACCTTGAAGCATGTGTATGAGATTGCCCTCGTCAAAGCTCAGGATGAGGTATTCGTCCTGCAGGACGTACCCCTGTCCTCTGTTGTCCGCTCCATCATCGGGTCTGCCCGTTCCATGGGCATTCGTGTGGTGAAGGAGTAAGTGTCCTGGCAGATGGCAGTGGGAAAGTCAGCTTTTGATTCAAGGGACCCTAGATTCTAGAGGAGGGGGCGGGGGTGGGAGGCCACATTCATTGATTTGGAATACACTTATTGGGCACCTGTTATGTATTGGATGTTGTTCTGCAAATGTTCTAAGAAATGGAAAGATTTCCATGAAGGATCCAAGTGGGAGAAGTTCAGTGTGATCAGGGTCTATAGTCCTAGAGACGAGTGGTGGATGACATGAGGGAAGGACCAGTGGGGAAGGACTTTTGAGCTGGGTCACGTTCATGCTTGCTCCTGAGGCAAACAGGGGACCCCTCTCATGGGGCTTTCGGTGACTTCAGGAATTGTTTCATTAAAGCAAGACGTTGGGTGAGAGGGTGTCTGGCTTAGACAACAGGCTGGACAGAGACAGCGACTCAGCCCTTTACTGCTCTCTTGCTGCTGTGTCACATCCCACGTCAAGGCTGATGATTGATTGTTTCCCAAGAAGGGTGGGATTAAGCATGGAGCAGATGTGGACTTGACTTTTCTCAAACCTTTTCTTTTACTGGGAGAATGGAGATGGGTAAATCTGACCCCTGCCCTGGGAGAGACACACATGCTCAGCCTGTGATGTCACTGTACAGCATATTTTGGGGCACAGAGTACCCCAGTTAATCTGGACTGGCATATGGCTGATGCCTCAAACGATGAGTAGGGATTTAATAAGGGAACAAAAGGTTGGAGGTTGGGAGATGGTGTCCCTGGAGAGGAAACATGAGCAAAGGTATGGAGGCTGAGAAGTCAGGGAGGGAGAAGGGGCCAGGCAAGCTGGGCTCTGAGACAGAGGCCCCTTCGAGCCCCTGCAAGACGTGGGGTCCTGTGAGCTCCCACCAGTGACCGACCATGTGCCAACTGTCTGTCTGTCTTCACTTACAGCCTCGGTTCAGAAGAGCTTGCAGCTTTCCAGAAGGAACGAGCCATCTTCCTGGCTGCTCAGAAGGAGGCAGATTTGGCCGCCCAGGAAGAAGCTGCCAAGAAGTGACCCTTGCCCCCCAACTCCCAGATTTCAAAGGAAGCAGCTGGGAAGGGGGCCAGTTGCGAAGGCAGTGCCCAAGGGGAGGAAGGGAGGTCACGCAAATATGGTGATTGTTTTTGTGACTTTGAATGATATATTTTTGTACATCTGGCTTTATCAAGGCATCAGGCCTGAATAAACATCCTTTCTTGCCCACTGTCAGCTTCAATCTTGGGACCCTGGGGAAGGGGACCGGTACTGATGGTAGCCAACGTGGGCAGACATTAGGAAACTGGGGTCTTCATGCTGCTTCTCAGATGTGCAAACTGAGGCTTAGCCAAGCCAAGTAACTTGTACAGGTCCTTTTTTTTCTTTTTTTTTCTTCTGCCTAAGCCTCTCGAGTAGCTGGGACTATAGGCACAAGCCACCATGCCTGGCTAATTTTTGCATTTTGTACTAGAGACAGTTTCACCATGTTGGCCAGGATGGTCTCCATCTCTTGGCCTTGTGATCCGCCTGCCTCCACCTCCCAGAGTGCTGGGATTACAGGCGTGAACCACTGCACCTGGCCTTTTTTTTCTTTTTTAAGTTATTGTTTTGTTTTATTGCCCAAGTTCTGAATAGAACCCAGGCCATCTCATTTGAAATCCTGTGTTCTTCCCCTCCCCAGGGTGGGAACATGCATGCTGGGGCTGGGGTATATTGCCTGCTGCTTCTTTCAAAAATCTCTTATCTCTTAGGGACTTGCTAGCTTAGCAGAAACAGGTCCCTGTGGAGATCTCAGCTCACAGCCGGAGGCAGGGTTGCTTCACAGAGTGCCCAGATCCTAGGGGCTACTTGAGGCCCTTCTACTAAGCTTCTGACCTTGGCTCTGGGTCAGATGTGGCCAAACATGAACTATTGTAGGGCTCACAGCTACCACAGAAAGACCAAAGCTTCAGCAGGTTCCCGTCTGAGGCAGAAGTCCTCAGGAAACCCTTAGCCTTTTATTTCCTGATTGTCCTTTCAGAAAAGAGAGCAAGAGTTGGGAGAGAAAGGAGATTCGCATATACTGAGCATGTGTTATGTGCTAGACACTTCATTTTACAGAGAAAATATGGCAAGCATAGGTAGATAAACACCTAAAAGGAAAACCTCATGTTATCCCACCACCCAGATGATACTCCTGCTGCTCTTTTTTGTCTTTGTGTGTGTATTTATGTATAATGCATTTTGAAAAAAAACAAGTTGGGGTCATACTCTATACATCTTTACAACACTGTATACTTTTAACTTGGCAACTATTTAGAACATTTAAAAATTATCTTTCTAGGCCGGGCGCAATGGCTCACGCTTATAATCCCAGCACTTTGGGAGGCCGAGGTGGGTGGATCACGAGGTCAAGAGATTGAGACCATCTGGTCAACAAGGTGAAACCCAGTCTCTACTAAAAATACAAAAATTAGCTGAGCATGGTGGCGTGTGCCTGTAATCCCAGCTACTCGGGAGGCTGAGGCAGGAGAATTGCTTGAACCCAGAAGGTGGAGGTTGCGGTGAGCCGAGATCGTGCCATTGCACTCCAATCTGGGTAACAACAGCAAAACTCCGTCTCAAAAAAAAAAAAAGAAAAAAAATTATCTTTCTAAAACTATTTTAAATGATGGTTTAGTAATCTTTTTTTTTTTTTTGAGATGGAGTCTTGCTCTGTCACCCAGGCTGGTGCAGTTAGCTGGGGTTACAGGTCCATGCCAACACGCCTGGCTAATCTTTTTTTATTTTTAGTAGAGATGAGGTTTCACCATGTTGGCCAGGCTGGTCTCAAACTCCTGACCTCAGGTGATCTGCCTGCCTGGGCCCCCCAAAGTACTGGGATTATAGGCATGGGCCACTGCACCCAGCCAAGACTTCATTTTCTTCTGCCTCAGCCTCCTGAGTAGCTGGGACTACAGACAGGCATGCACCACCATGCCTGGCTAATTTTTGTGTTTTTAGTAGAGATGGGGTTTCACCATATTGGCCAGACTGGTCTCGAACTCCTGACCTCATGATGTGCCTGCCTCATTTTCCCAAAGTGCTGGGATTACAGGTGTGAGCCACCACTCTTGGCCATTACTTTTTTCTTACTCTTTGAGTTTCGTGGACATTGTATTAAAGGAACCATAGTAGCTTCAAAGTTCCCTTTCAGCGTTAGATGAAGTGAGTGATTATCTTGTTCCAGTGACAGGTGAGTCAAGGTAGACTGCACTTTCATCAGACCTCTGCTTTGTGCCTATTCCCTGCCATAGCCCTCCTGGGCTTTGACTGAGAGCTTGGAAGATCTCCAGAAGACTGTGGAATTCAGTTCTGCCTTTGAGAAGTTTTAAACTTAGCATTCCTCCCCATGCAGGTTTGAAATGTGGCGAATGTCTTGAAGGGGAGATGGTCATGAGTATGTGGCAGGCTGTTGCCCTTTTAAGGACTTTCTTCCTTGAGGTTGCTCAGGTTAGCCCTAAACTGATGACCTCGCCTTTGCGAGCGCCATGACCTCCGGCGGGAGCCACTTTGGACCCCATGGACTTTCTTCCTTAAGATATTCGATATGCAGTATATGTCAAGAGTTTTTTCTTCAAATACTGATTTTTAAATTATATCAATAGTGTATATAGTTTTCTTTCTTTTCTTCTTTATTTTTTTCTTTTGAGACTGAGTCGCTCTATTGACTAGGCTGGAGTGGAGTGGAGCAATCTCAGCTCACTGCAACCTCGGCCTCCTGGGTTCAAGCGATTCTCCTGCCTCAGCCTCCCAAGTAGCTGGGATTACAGACGCCTGCCACCACTCCCAGCTAATTTTTGTATTTTTAGTAGAGATGAAGTTTCACCACGTCAGCCAGACTGGTCTCAAACTCCTGACCTCAAGTGAGCCACTTGCCTCAGCCTCCCAAAGTGCTGAGATTATAGTTGTGAATCTGTAGTGTATATAGTTTTCATTGTATCAGTAGTGAAATTTACTTCCCTTCAAGGTGATTCTGTAACTGCAATAGAAAATGGCATTTTGGGGACCGATCCAAGATGGCCGATCGCTAACATCTGGGGACTGCAGCTCTCGGTGAAGGCGCGGAGAACTAGACGACGCCACACTTTCAGACAAATTCTGGTCGCTCATGGAGCAGAAGATCCCCAGTGGAGGAATCACACGGATCGCCAGTGCGACTTTCGTGGCCGGCGCAGGGGTTCCGCCGGCACCTTGGCGCGGCAGCTCTTGGAGCAGAGTAAACAGGTTTGGAGGACCCACAAGGGCCCCCAGCACGACACCAGAGTCCGGTGCAGTGGCTGTGACGGCACCTCGGCGCGGCAGCGCTCGGTGCAGAGGCGCAGAGTAAACGGGACCAGCTCCCCTTCTGACCGAGGTTTGGATCCCCGGGAAGGCAGAGTCGCCCACTACGGACACAAGAAGGAAGCCAGACAAGAGAATCCTGGGCAGAAAAGCACCATCAGTTTTAATGTCGCTGCTCTGGCCCTGGGAACTAACAACCTGGACGCCCACTCAAGAGACCTAATCTGAAAGTTGGTAAATTCAAAGCACAGGAGGATAAACTTACAATGACGGGAAGAAACCAGCGTAAAAAAGCTGAGAATACTCAAAGTCAGAATGCCTCACCCTCTAAAGATGATCACAGTTCCTCATCAACAATGGAACAAGGCTTGATGGAGAAGGAGCGCATCCCAATAACAGAATCACTCTTCAAGGGATGGATAATAACAAACTTCGGTGAGTTGAAAGAACATGTTGTAGCCCAACGTAAAGAAACTAGGAACTTTGAAAAAAAGTTTGATGAAATCCTATTGAGAATAGACAACTTAGAGAGGAGTATGGGTGAATTAATGGAACTGAAGAATACAATACAGGAACTCCGAGAAGTTTGCACAGGTTTAAACACTCGAATTGTTCAAGCAGAAGAAGGGATATCAGAGGTCAAAGTCCAACTTAATGAAATAAAACGTGAAGAAAAGATTAGAGAAAAAAGGATAAAAAGGAATGAGCAAAGTCTCCAAGAAATGTGGGACTATGTGAAAAGACCAAATTTCCGTTTGATAGGTGTACCTGAATGCGATGGAGAGAATAAATCCAAGATGGAAAATACCCTTCAGGAAATTATTCAGGAAAATTTTCCTAAACTAGCAAAACAGGTCAATATTCAACCCCAGGTAATACAGAGAACACCATAAAGATATTCCTCAAGAAGAGCAACCCCAAGGCACATAATCGTTAGATTCACCAGGGCTGAAACGAAGGAGAAAATACTAAGGGCAGCCAGAGAGAAAGGTCAGGTTACCCACAAAGGGAAGCCTATCAGACTTACAGCAGATCTCTCAGCAGAAACTCTACAAGCCAGAAGAGAGTGGGGGCCAATATTCAACATCCTCAAAGAACAGAACCTTCAGCCCAGAATTTCATATCCAGCCAAACTAAGCTTCACAACTGAAGGAAAAATAAAATCTTTTATGAACAAGCAAGAACTCAGAGATTTTATTACCACCAGTCCTGCTTTACAAGAGCTTCTGAAAGAAGCATTACACAGAGAAAGAAACAACCAGTATCAGCCCTTCTAAAAATATACCAAAAAGTAAAGAGCACCAACATAAAGAAGAATTTACACCAACAAATGGATAAAACAGCCAGTTAACATCAAAGGGCAGTAACCCTAAATTTAAATAGACTAAATCCCCCAATCAAAAGACACAGCAAAAACCCAACGGCATGTTACATCCAGACCTGTTTCACAGGCAAGGATACACAAAGACTCAAAACAAAGGGATGGAGAAAGATTTACCAACCAAATGGAGAGCAAAAATAAATAAATAAATAAGCAGGAGTTGCAATTCTCGTATCGGATAAAATAGATTTTAAAGCAACAAAGATATAGTGGTAAAAGGATCAATGCAACAACAAGAGCTAACGATCCTAACACCCAGATACATAGAGACTTAGACACAATGAGACAGAAAATTAATAAGGATATCAAGGACTTGAACTCAGATCCGGAACAAGTAAACTTAATAAATATTTATAGAGCCTTCCACTTCAAATACACAAAACAAACATTCTACTCAATACCACATCACACGTACTCATAGGTTTAAATGAAACATTCATTGGCCATTATTAATACCCATTTTTTTTTAAGAATAAAGCAATATTTCCACTCACTCTCCCTCTTTCTCTTCCTCTTTCTTCCTCTCCTTTACTCATTGTTTTCTT